TACAAACTTCCTGTAAATGTTTGCTAATTATTCTGAATTGTGCTCACAGATGAACCAATGTTGGTAACTATCTCACTTTTCAATTGCTGGGACAGAGCAACATGACTAAGGCAACTTAGAGAAGAAAGGATTTATTTGGGGTTTCTAGATTGGAGTTATTAGTTCTAGATTGGAGAGTTATGGCATGGAATATGGCAGCAGGCAAGCACATATAGCACTAAAGTTATAGCTGAGAACTCACAGCATATAAAAGGCAGAGAGAGAAAGAGGGCTAATTGAAACCTCAAAGCCCCCCTCCAGTGATTCACCTCCTCCAACAAGGCTGCACCCACTCATCCTTCCAAATGGTTCCATCAACTAGGGACAAAGCATTCAAATATGAGCCTATGGGGGGGGGGTGTCATTTGTGTTAAAAATTTCATGGAAAGTAAGAGTTATAGTCTCAGGTCTTGCAGAAACATCAGTTAAGTAAATAGAGAAAATAACCACACAGTTAAAGAAATAAACTGGCTCATGTATAGACGTTTTGAAATGTCACAAGAAATCAATAGAACAGTGGCAGAGACTAAAGGGCACCAGAAGTTTCCTCTCTAATGATGTTGACGTACAGTACTTCCAGCACTTTGAAGCAGAGGAACCAACACAATGAAGTGCCTAAAATGAACCTGTTTGTAAGGTGCCCACAGAAGGGAACACGCACCTTGGTCCAAAGAGTATGATGTGAATGTCTGTGTGAGACTGTTACTCAGCTGGCCACCACTGTGGACTTACAGTCCATGGTGAAGAGAAGTAGATTTTTGTCAGGGAAGACAGTTTCAAGTTGGATGAGAAGCAAGAGAAGTAAGTCTTTGTAGACAAACCTTCGGAGAAGGTCTGAACTAGTGTGTGCTAGCTTGAGAAGATGTGGACAGACAGATCCTAGAGTAAAAGTGTGTGCCAAAATTTATCTGAAAGAGAGGTTGAGACCAGACCTACAGGAAAGCTGGAAGTTGATCAATAGTGATACTCTGTTTAGAACTCATTAGAAGCCTGACGTCAAGAATTCAAAATGAGCAAAATATCACAACTTTCTGAAGGCATGCTCAGGTATAGATGGAGAAAGATGGCTGAATTCATTCATGGAGGTAAAGGAGATGAAAGGAATTTTTTAATTTTTAAAAATGATCAGAATGGTAGGATATAGAAAAAAAAATGTAAAGCAAGAAATGGTGCTCTCATGAAAACATTGAGTAGTGAGCCATTTGGAAGATCACTGAAGTAGAGGCCAGGATGAGGCTGAGGGATTTTCATAGCAGAGAGAGCTGAACTCATAAACTAGAAAGACATGGGATGGTCCAAAAATTTGATGTTGCCGACTAAGCTGTAAGAGATGCTGCAGTGGTCTGGGATGCAACTTCTGAACTGAATAACTAAGTACATAGAAATAAATAAAAATTATTTGAGATAAGTAGGTAAAGAAATTGAGATGTCAGGAAATTGAAATTATATTTTTACATTACACACTTCATTTATTTAATGTGTTTTGTGTCTGTGTGTTCAAGCCCTGGCATGTAGACGAAGGGTCAGGCTAAGGACTAGGACTCTAAGTTGATAGACAGCTGATTCCTGCTTTAAAAAGAAGCTGGTGACAAGGTGTTGGTAAAGAAGAGTTGAAGAGACTGAGAACTAGAGCGGGATCTGTAATGGACAAGGAGGACCTGAACTTAGAGAGTTCCAATGCCTGATGGGAAACCAGAGACTCCTGCCTTCCTGAAGCCTGATTTCAGTGCTCTTCTGAATGGGTTAGCTCACCTGTACCAGAGTATTCACCTGTCTCTGGGCGCTACGTGAGATGTGCCTTCAGTAACTGGAGATGCTAGCCCCACTGCTTTCCGTAGTCTCTAGCATCAAATACTTCATGTATATGGCATGTGCTCAAAGCAGATCAATTAGTTAATGAAACACCCTGTAGGGTATGCAGGACAAGTATTATTAATGTTCGTACTTTAATCCTAGAGATTTTTGATGTGACCCCTTTGCCCTCATCACCTTTGCTGGAGATGGAATCCAGAGTCCAGCTTATATTATGTAAACAAGTACCCTGCCCCTGAGCTATGTCTGCAGTGAGGTGTTTTTTCATTTACATAAATATTAAAAAAGCTGGAGGGGTGACAATCCAGGCTGTGCTCTGCTAGCATCATTTATTTTAGCCCAGCTATGTGGCTCCCTTGGAGGAGCAGAGGTAGAGCCTGTTGCTAATATGTCCTGTTACAAGAAGGCAAGGTGAGATGTCATGCTCCTGTAGTAGAAGCATCCATCTGCACAGATTAGATAAAGCAAAAGTCCACAAAATGCTTTCCTAGTGTGATCACTGCAGCAACATTACAAAGGATGGATCCATTGTGTGGACCACATGATGCTTAGTGTATGAAATTTACAGTACAGTATTTCTCTGGTGGGATTGGGACTATGAGTAATTTGCCCTGAATTTTCAACAGTAATTTACTATTTTTGAATTGCCTTTATAATATAAGAGCTTAGTAAAATTCCAACTTTATAATAACACTCCAAGTACTAGCATACATTTAATCTTTGTTCAAAAGAAAACTGCATTTAAAGATGCGTTTCTTGTCCGTGCCTGTTGAGGAGGAAGGGAACATATTACCCAGGACAGATGGCATTAGTTACCCTGACTTTACTATGGACATTTTACTTGGAGGGCAGAAAATCCTGGGTGGAAGTTTGGAACTGCATAGGTAGAGTGGCACACCTTTTTTTTCAGCCCTTTGTTAAATGTCATTGAGTAGGAAGCTGGGTGATGACTAAGGAGTTGAACTGGGGAAACTTGGAGCTGCATGTGGTTCCACATCATCCAGTTCCCATTGCCAGTGTTCCCGTTCCTCTCGTCAATTGCTGTTCCAATACCTCCAGCTGGTAGTTCCTGGATAAATTGTGATTGTGTTAATGATACCTAAGGGTGCTTGGATACATCCCCTGCATGAAATTGAATGAGTTTTGCTGTCACAGACTATCAAGTTTGGAGGGTCTGAGGCAGGCTTGCGTCCTCCAAGTCAGGGCTTTCTCCCAAGTTCTGCGTGTAGGAGAATCTTAATATATGTTAAGACTGACTTAGTTAATTTCTTCTCTTAGAAGTAAGTTTTTCCACAAGGATGGTAGGTGATACCTAGAAGAGAATTAGAATTTCTTTAGATTTGAGTGTTATTTGGTTGGTTCACTAGTGAACATTCATAATCTCCAATTCGAGGAGCTTGCATTTTTGTATTATATATTATAATTCATTAGAAAGAAAGAAAAAAAGGAAGGAAGGAAGGAAGGAAGGAAGGAAGGAAGGAAGGAAGAACAAAAGAAAGAAAGAAAGAAAGAAAGAAAGAAAGAAAGAAAGAAAGAAAGAAAGAAAGGAGAGAGAGAGGTGGTAAAGGAAGAGAAGAAGAAAGAAAAGCCTGACTATAAAGCTAGGTTGAGAAGCTTGAGCTCGAGACGGCAGGGAAGGCAGGCGTTGTAGGTGTCTCTGTGTTATGCAGTTGGGTTGTGGCAGTTCCCTAAACATGCTTAAAGGGTGATCAGTTTGGTACCGAAGAGCAGTTTCAACAGAATGAAAAAAAAATGACAAATTACCTAAATCTTGGATAACAAGGGCTCAGAAAATATTGGGCTGATGATGGTGATACTTTAAAAGATAACCAGGCCCATTCACTACACAAGGAACCAGCTTTCAGATAAATTATAGAATGAATATTCAACACATGTTACAGGATGATTTACATATGCTAATGTTTGATATCGCATTACGCCTTAGTTTGGTTTCTATTGTAATGAAATCTCTCACTGCTGTCAGTTGGAGAAGAGGCAAGACAATCTACTTAGACTGGATCAACTCATTGGGTGAGCATCAGCTTTGGCTAATTCTTATTCTCAGAGCTATGTCCTTGTGAAGACACGTAATATCTACTGATGTACACCTACCTAAGGCATGAGCAGTGTGAACCCTGCCTATTGAAAGCTAAAATGTTTTGGCTTCCAGTACATTTTGACAGTGCTGTCAGATGCTTCTCTTGCCAGGTAAACACTTCTAATTGTTTTAGGACCAGTTCAAATCGCCAGTTTACGGGCTGAGTGTTTGATATTGAAGAAAATATTGCATTCACTGCCATAGAACACGGATGTTAGGGATCATATGGAACAGACTGATACATATACATCTGAAAAACTGTGAAAAATAGCTTGGCCTGGGGCCCTTAACATAATTTAGATTCATGCACAACTTCCACAATTTCAAATTAAACAAACTCAGAATGACACAAATTTGCTGAAATGTAATTCAAACTAAGTATGTACATATATCTTCTAGTTCCACAGAATGTTGATCTCTGAATTCTCATTAGACACCTAATTTAATTTCTGCATGATGATCCACTCAGGAGAAATAGATTTCCTAGAGGGAAAATAAAGGTTTGGGTTCTGAGACGAGGAAGGAGTTAAAGCCATCCCTTAGTTTGCATAAATCTATAACAGTGTGCAAAATAACCTGTTCGAGCTGGGACAATCATATCATCTCTGTGTAGCTCTGCTCTCATGCCAGTCACTCAGTCACTGGTACACTGTCTAATTTTATTAAGTTCCTCACAGACCAGGAGACTCTTAGTGAGAAGCCAGTTCTCTGCTCATTAGCAGTGACCATCTAGTTTGTTTGCTTGGACTTTGCTTTGGCCTCCTGCCCTCAAGTTAACACAATTTTGACTCCCAACCATACTGTCACTGTGCCCTCTTGACCCAGAACAGAGGGAGATGAATGGAAGTATTGATACCAACTTCATAGCTTCTGTAATAGGCAACATGCTTGAATTCCTATCTCTTGGTTCTGGTTTCTTTGAAAACAAGGGAGAAAGGAGAAGTGCTAGAATTAAACAGATATTCAAGGGCTTCAAGGGGTTATATAAGCATTGCTGTATATACTACTACAAAATTATTCATAACACAGAGGGAATCCCATGTAGATATCTTTTATTTTCTGGCATTTTTGAGGATGTCTTCTGCCATCTTGTCCTCATTCTCAGGGCTTTGATTGAACTTGGTTCTAATTCTCTTATCCTTGAGAACCCAGTTGCATTCTATCCTATTCAAGAAGAACAGGGAAAGAGAGAGGGGGAGGGAGAGAGGGTGGGAGAGAGGAGAGAGAGAGAGAGAGAGAGAGAGAAGAGAATAATCAGCAAGATGGGTGGTGTGGTTTGAAAACAGGATGAAGAAAGAGGATTTAGCTTGCAAAGCCAAACAATGGTGTTCATAATCTATTAACTCCAAGATGATTAAGAATTCTGCATCTAGGCACAGTTCAATGGGAAATAAACTCTGAACTTCACTGATTAACAACATAAGTTTTTATTTTGCAGTAATAGCTTTATCAAACTGACACTTGCACAGGTTGTGTAGGAACTAAAATATATACAGTTGAATTGTACTCATCTGTAAAGTACAATGCAACAATGATATCTGCAGGAATGTGGCTTGCTCTGGAGGCCATTTAGTTATACAAAATAAATTGGACTCAGAAAAATACCACATAGTCCATGGATGTTCTATATTTATATCTATCTGCCTATGTAAATTATAAGCCTGTAACATATACATGTATATGCATATATATGTGTGTGTATCAAATATACACATATAGATATACATATATAGGTATGTATATATACATGTATACAAACATATACATATATACAACTATATACATATTTGATACACACAACTATATATTTGTCAAATGACACTGACTTTATTGTTGATTTAAGAAACACTGATATGAATTCTGATCCATTTTCTCCTAACTGCGTGATCTTGGGAAAACCACTATGCTTTGTTTGTCTCAATTTCTTAAACTTGGAGTAAAATAGAGTGATCTCACATGACCACTGTTCAATAGTAAACAAATCAGTGGTGTCGGTGTACCTCTGAAATGCATCCTATTATTAGTATGAACATCCTGCTATTATTCTCATTGTCTATTAGAGAAGTCTACATGAAGTTAGTTTCTTAAATAAATAGTACTATAAATAAGCAAAACAAAAGAAAAAACAAACTCTTAAGTCCCTAGTTCCAATGGGAAAAGAATCTAGATTCCTAAACCAGCTTCAACTGCATTTTAGCCATTTTAATATTTACTTAGTATCTCCAGTATTGCTATACTGCGCTTTTCTGACATGTGTTTAAATCTCTACAGCATAATTTCAGGTTTAACATCAACAGACCATCTGAGATTCTGCAAATTTCTTTACAGGAAGATGGGGTATATTTTTCTGATTGTCCTATTTTCTTAAGTTTAGATACAAGTTGTAACTTCTAGTAGCCAAAGGACAATGCCATTCTCAACATGGATTCAGTATGCTTCTACGACTGGGCGTAGCAAAAGGAACTTATTCTCATCAGATGATGGTCTTTATTATTTTTATAATAAACACAATAAATAGCAGAGTCAATAAAAAGAAGTGATGTAGAAGTAAGGACCACTCTTTACCCAGAAGATAACGAACTCCTGAGGAATTGGGTCCCATTCTTAGAAAGTGTCTACATTTCTTGTGCTCTTCAACAAGACAGCCAATACCTATGTGTATCACACAAACCTTGAAATGTATATATGTACAGTATTCTGAAAACTTTGTATGAAATATGGATGAATGTAAAATATATTTTTTCTTTATTGTTTGTGTATTAATTAGTAGTGTTAATGTTTTGTATATATTGGCTAAAATACATTATTAAAATTATTAAAATACGTTAAAATTACAAAAGTTATTAAAATACATTATTAAAATACATTATTAAAACAGTAGCACCTCTTCTTAATTTTAACATCAAAATGATAAATGTGGCTCACATGTTGGATGAACTGGTACGACACAGCTCTTAGCTCTTCAGCCGAATACTAGTACTCTCTTTCCCTCATTGTGTGGAGATGGGAGCCAAGAAAATAGCTCTGTGGGTTCAATGCAAATGCCCGGGTGCAGTGGCAAGAAGTCAACTTTACTTCACTTTGACAGTATTTCCCATGTATGATAACAAATGAGCTGTCTTCTTACTCTTCACATTTTAATATTACTTGGAATTGTGTAAAAGGGCTCAGTAGGGTAAAGGGGAGGAAGAAAAGAGGAAGCAGAGGGATAGAGGATAGAGATAACCCACCATTTCTGTTCTTGAGGGAACAACTGTATTGTTTATATCAAATTACCTCAGGTGTGAAGACAGGTGATACATATAATTTAGGTAAATACAAATTATAAGGAAAAAGATTACTTAAACCAATCACTAAGATACTCACATATTCTCAATGATTCACCAAACCCCACCAGTAATTATAAAACTCTTTTCGAGAATTCTTAACAAGGAGATGTCTATTTGGATGTCAAGGCCACATCTTATAAGGCTCACTGTCGCTTGGTGGCCTCCTGTTTGATACTGATGTCTTTTGTTAAATATCTGTTGTGAAAGGCCTAAAGGAAGCAGGGGGTGAAGGACCCACTGCAGAGGAGGTGCCACCAGTAAATCAGGATGGGATTTTCTTCTGAACAAGTAAAAGAGGTAGTATCTTAAATGGAACAACTGAATTGCAAGCTACAAGTTTTTTCTCTCTCTCCCCCTCTCTCTTTCTCTCTCCCTCCCTTCCTTCCTCTCTCCTTTTCTTTTTCTCTCTCTCCCTCCCTCTCTTCCTCTTTCCTACATATATACACTATAATCTGTTTATCAATCTACCTATTTTCTACCAATCAATCTGTTTGTCTATCTATTTATATGTCATTTATCTATATATCAATCCCAAAGTCTTTTCAGAGTCTTTTTGGGGACAATACCTTGATATGCACTGATAAGAGCCCATTTTTAGTCTCTTTCTCATTTTGTGTGATGTTCATAGATAAAACCACAGGCAAGTTGATGTTCTTGGTCCTGAGTTGCTGATTCTACATTGTGGTTTTGAACTTAAGGGTATCACACTGTTACAGTGTATAGAACCAATTTGAAAAGGGGTTACTTTTCTCAAGACTAAAACTAGTGTTTTGAAATACATCTGGTCTCTTGTTTTCAGACAAGGGATTGTACACCAGCTTGTGGGATACCGCAGCTCAGAAACTAGGCAAGTAGCAACCAAGCTCTCTCCCTCCTCAATCACTCCCCTGACTCAGCCACTTTCCCCAGATTACTCTTGCCTTCTGTATTTAGAACTCATTCACACAATTCCACACTAACGTGAAGGTGACTCTGAGCAGACTGGGATAATTCCTAGCTGTGTTTGAGATACACAGGGTAGTAACACATACTGTCTCTCGACAATGCTCTTGGGGTTTACAAACATGCACAAAACAATAACAAGTACATTTGGCTGCTCTCAACTCAAGAGAAGAGAGCAAGGATATACAGCAGTTCTCAACCTGGGGGTCAACCCCCTTTGGGGATTGACTGATACTTTCACAGGGGTCACCTAAGACCATCCTACATATCAGATATTTGCATTATGATTCAGAACAGTAGCAAACTTAGAGTCAAAAGTAGCAACAAGAATAATGTTATGGATGGAGTCAAGACAACATGAGGAACTGAACTAAAGGGCTACAGCATTAGGAAGATTGAGAACCACTGGTGTACACCATCTTTTTAGTACAATTTTGAAGAGGAAAAAAATTCCTGAGGTATGAGAAGAAACTCAGGGGATACTCTCTTACTATGATTATAAATTATTTTGAGAAACTATGCAGTGTTATCATCTTTCAAGACAGCCTGAAAGCTCTTAAGTTCCTATTAAGAAAATTTCAATTTATTAATATGAAAATAAGAATTCTTGATAGAAATTGACAGCAAAAATACAATTGTATCTGGATAAACCCAAGAGATTAAAAAAATCTGACTCTGTTTAACACTTGTAGTTATCTGGCTTTGGTGAGAGTATTTCTCTTTTTTCTGAAAGCTTCTCTTCAGTAACGATTCCTACCTCTCTCCAGATGGAGGGTGCATAGTCGCTGCTGCTTCCTGCCCTCCAGACTGACACTTCACTTTCCTTTGTGATAGAGTGGGTGACAGCTTATCAAAAAGGTGTATACTTTTCTTGACCCTTAAGAAAGGACTTTCCATTTCTCCCTGTGGGAGTGGGGTTAAATATGTAACTATTTAGATTATATAGTTTTATATAGATTACAAGGTACAATGATTTTATTTAAATACCTGAGTACTACTTGTTTGTCTGTGAGCTTTACTGCTTTAGCTTGCATTTGGAACTCTAGTACAGCCAGCCCATATAGCATACACAGTATTGTACATCTTTCAGAACTTCTGTAGCACAGGGCATTCCATTTATACTCATCAAGCTAATTGGAAAATTTCTCATCCTTTTTTTTTTTCCTTACATGGGACCATCTAAGCCATGAGTTAGAAATCCAGAAAAGTGCATGCGGCAATCAGTTCCATCTCTCTCTAGGGCTCCAAAGAAGTTGACAGCTAAACCTACTGCTTCAGACACAGCAGGCTGGGTGTACAGAGTCACCTTGATGGTCTTGCTGACAGCTCATCTGTATTATGACAGTTGTCTCATTTACTTCTGGGCCACCACTGAGGCCTGTCTTGTGCATTAGCTATTTCTGGGCCACCACTGAGTTTCTCACTGCCCGCCTGCCTGGCTATTTGGATTTCTTTTAGCAATGGATCTGAGAATGAGTCAAAGCAAAGCATCACTAGACATTTCCTCCCAAGACTTTGACCATTTCAGTGTGCTTCTTTAAAATGAGCTTATTAAAAACACAACAGCACATTCCATTCTACCATGAAAGTATATTCTCTTTCTTTGTGTTTCCCCTAAACCCTGGGACGAAATGCAGATTAAGTTCTGTCTTAATTGGGTTGTCTACCTTAACTTTCTACAGATTATCAAAGAAAGTGCATTCTAGATATTCATCCATGGTGTATGAGTTTGATGAGGTTTGGCTGGAATTTTGTTTCCTTTTCTTTTTTAAAAAAATCTTTTTCACTTTACCTAAATCTTTAAAATAATAAACCAACAAACAATTCTCCCTTAACCCAAGTATGTCTCCAGCTGGCCCATCTGCACTTTCTGTGGCTTTTCATATGCTCCAA